AATAATTTCTGCTGAAAGGGAAGCTATTGGAGAAAAAGGATTTACACACTTTAAACTGTCCAAAGTGTACTCCATTACAGTGCTAAGGTTATTTTATGAAAATAGGATGCATGGTATGGTGTGTGGGTATGTTCCAGGTGATGTATGTGACACAAGGTTGGGCGTCACCAATTATGATAAGAAACTTCAGTTTGCTCAAAACTTCCAGAAATTTGGTACTGTCAAATGTATGTGTGTCATTTGATAAACTGTGGAGATTTGAGCAACCAAAGACAATACACAAACAATGAGAAATACATGTGTGTGAACTCAGATTGCTCTCTTTGAGGGGATGTATGGTGGAAAACAGAAGCTAAGTGGTAAACCTTTTGTTCCACCTAATGATACAAAAGCAGTGACCATAGTGGAAATAGAGAATTTAAGACAGACTTTTGAAATAGAAACTGGATATGGAGATACAAATGCCTGGGTAGAATGGGTGAAATATACAGTACAGAAGTTTAAACAAAAGCAATTGCTATGCCTGTGCACAGGGGAGACCAGTAGCTCAAGTGGTCCCCTTTCCACTTGGTGGACAAAGGATCCAAGTGGCATGAGGTGCATACTGAACCTTTATCAAGATAGAACAGCCTGGGGAAATGAGAGTTGTAATTCCCTTTCCCTCTTATTTCCACCAATAAAAGGCCAGGATGTTAAAAAGCATCCTGTGTTCTCTGCAGCCTATGGTAACCATACCGCATGTCTTACATGACAAGGTGTGGATTCTGACAAGATGGTAAAAGAACTGGGAACCTGTATAGAAACAGTAGATGTAACCACAGCAGCTGAAAAGAGGAATTACTCCAGAATGAGCATTCAAAGAGCTGACTTGTGGTGGTACTGTGGGGGAAAGTTATTAAGGCATATACTTCCCCCAAATTAGGCAGGGATCTGTGTAATTGTTCAGTTGGCTATCCTATTTACCCTGGTATTTGAAAAAGATACGGTAATAAAGGAAAACAATAGAATAAAAAGAGATGTGTTAGGAAGCTCCTTTGATGATGAAGTGTACCTGGATGCCTTTGGAGTCCCTAGAGGAGTCCCTGATGAATATAAGGCTCAAAACCAGATAGCTGCTTGGTTCAAATCACTATTTTGGTGTGTGACTATAAACAAGAATGTAGATTAAATCAATTATATCTATTATAATCAACAGAGGTTTATCAATTACACAAGGGATGCTGTGAAGGGCATAACTGCACAATTAGATGTCACTAATAGAATGACCTGGGAAAATAGAATGTCTTTACACATGATATTGGCAGAGAAAGAGGGGTATGTGTAATGATAGGAGGTAGGTGCTGCACTTTTATTCCAAACTAGCTGTACCCAGCCATGTGTTGCTGTGGCCCAGTCTGGTTAAATGGAAAAGAAAGAAAAGAGAAAG